CGGCTGTTGAAAGGGGCAGCTCGGAGGTGGAGGGGGGGGGCTCAGAAAAGCTGGGGCAGGGCTGGTTTTTAACATGGGCGGGGAGGGAGGGAGGCCAGGCAGCTAATTGACATGAAGTCCCTCCCTCCCTCCCTCCGACTGCCCCTTCCTTAGAGGCAGGCCCAGTTTTATGGCCTCTTCTAGCGATGACCATCCACCCTGCGGTCAAGGTCTGGTCATCAGGTCTGGGGTGCATCCCCGGAGGAGGCCGGAGGGACAGGATTCAAATGGCTGCAGGACCCGCTGTGATCCAAAGAGCGTCCCCAGAGGAGATCCAGGAGGGGCTCAGCCTCAGGGTCCTGCCTCACGACTCACAGCCCCCAAGGGGGTCTGGGGTGGGGAGGGCCAGATTCAGACCCCTCTGATGCCAAGACGGTGCAGAATTAAACCCAGCCCTCCCTTTCTGCAAAGGGGCAGCGGGGAGACCGGGGAGCCTCTCCACCCGGCCCCCAGGAACCCCCCCACCCCCCCCAGCTAGGGAGCAAGCGGCCGACTGAAGCCCTGGGAAAGGCAGGAGGAGGCCGCCCGGAGCACATTTTCCAGCGATGACGTGATTCACCGTCGCCCTTGTCAAAACATGGAAGTGCCCCCCCCCTCCCAGCGGGAAGACCTGATCCCCTCCCTCCCAGCCAAGGGGGGCTTCAGCCTTTCCTGCCAAACCACAAAATCCGGAAACGCCTCTGCTGGCCTCCTTGTTGACATCCAGCTCCAGAGTTGCCGCCGTTTCGCCTGAGAAGCTCCGGTGCCAAGGCAGCCCCCTCCCGCCCTCCCCACCAACCCACCCCCAGGGCTCAGTTTGGATGGTTTGGCTTTCCAGCTGCAGGGGAGACCTTCCCTTTCTCAGTGCCCCCTTCCCCTCCCTTATGGCAGAGGGGGGTCCCCCTGCTGCTTTCCCTCCTCTGGCAGCCTTTGGCCTAAAGGGGGGGAAAGGTTTCAACCACGGGGCGCCGGGAGGGAATCAGAGCCCCTTCCCCCCTTTTTTTCTGCCCCTTTTCCACCTGCACGGAACTGCCTGAAGCCCTGAACCATCTCCAACCTTTACTCCAACCTTGGGGGACAATAATGCCCCCCCAAATAAAGGCCCACAAGGAAAGGGCAAAAGGCTCCTTTAGCCGAAAAGGCCTGGCCCTCCCCCCCTGCCCCCCCCCCCGGCCCTCGGAGCCCAGTGCTGTCCTTCTAGGGTAGCCGAGGAGGCGGCTGCAGGTATAGGCTGGTTCATCCTGGAAGGGTGGGGGGGGGGGGGGGGGGGAGGGAGGGAGTCACGGATGATCTCACAGGCAGCTGTTCCATAAGGCAACTTGGCTTAACCAAGCACAGGATCTGCTGGATCCGCCCTGGGGTGGCATTCTTGCCTGTTTGGATCAAGGGGAAGGCAGGGCCAGGTGACGACGGGAAAGGAATCCGGGCTTGGCTTGGTCCACTTTGACCATCTGGAGAACATCTGTTGGGATCTTCGGTTCTCAGGTGGGCCTCCAAGGCCGGAGGGAGACCCCCCCCCCCGCTGCCTTCAGCAGAAGGGAGGAAGCCGGAGGTGGCCCCCACCCAACCTTTCCTGCCATCCCAGAGGGAGGTCTGGCTTTTGCTCTCTGGGGGAGCCTGCGCGATGCCAGCTTTTCCTGCCACATGGGCTTGAGAGTCCTCAGGCCGCGTAGTAAAACCATCTGGCCACGTGGTTGAAGCAGCCCCCTTGTCCTCCATGAGGTTCTCTTCGTGAGCCCAGTGAGGCTTGAGCACATGAAGTTGCCAGAAGGGGCTGCCTTCTGGGTGTTTGCCCAGACAAGTGTGTGGGCACCCCAAGCTGAGGGTTTGGGGACCTTGGGCACTACCCTGTTGCTCCAGCAGAGGACGCCCCCAACCCCAGAGTAGACGCCTAAGTGCAATTCGGTTTTCATCCAACCTTGAGTGTGGTTGCAAAGTCCTGTCTAGCCCTGGAGAAGGCAAGGTGGATGCGCCCCGGGCGACTTTCCCCTTTTGGAAACCCAAGGGTGGCCAGGCTTTGACCAAAGGCCTGTGGACCCACAAGGGCTCCGTTCCGATGGGAGGACATCGTCTTCTGCGTCTCCTCTGCTTCCCAGCACAGGACAGCTGGGCTCTTGGGGATCTTGACCTCCTGGCCCCCTCCACAGCGTAGCCCAGGAATATTTGGTCACCAGCCCCTCTCCGCCTGGGCGGAGAGCTCTCCCCCGCCTCCTGTTCCGTCTTGAGTGGACGGGAGGATCAAGCACAGTGGAGGTTTCTCCAGCTGGCACCCACTCAGGGGGATGGATTACAACTCCCATTCACGCCGATGGTAGGGCGTGATACTCTTACACATCACCTTAAGCCTTGGTTTATTGAGCCGGCCATAACGGACCAGGTTCACACATGCCATATTCCAGCATTGGCAAACGGCTAGTACGGGTAGTGAAAATGTAGCGAGAGCAAAAGCAGGAGACCAACGTGGTGGCTTAGTGAGCTGTGTGAGCCAAGGGTGACAGGCAGCCCAGCAGATCTGGAGAGGGCCAAGCTGGGGGGCACTGACGGCCCAACCAGGCAGGCTCCCCTCTTGCCTGAGTCGGTCCTGTTCTGCTCTTTCTTTGGTTGCGCCTCCGTTTGAGTTGCCCCGACTATCCCGACGTCAGCGGAGAGTTCCTTTCTAAACCGGAGCTCGGCTCTTTACACATACTTTATTTTGGGCTGTTCTTGAAATCCTATCCCGCTGTGTGCAGTCAGAGGGGTCAGAGGGGGCTGCTCTCCCTGGTCGGATGGGCCCCCAGGAGGAGCAGAGAGAACCCTTGTGTGGTCGCCCTGACCTTTGGGGGCAAATGTGAACAATACAGGTAAAGAATGCTCAACCTGGTCCCCTCCAGTTGCGAAGGGCTCCTCCCCCACAATCGCCCATCCACGCAGGCCTTTGGGTCATGTTTTCGGGAGGTTCCCTGGATCTGTGGAGGAAGCCATTCCTCCTGGTTGGGAGGCTCTTAGAGAGCAAGGGAGTCTCCATCCACTGCTGGAAACCATCAGCTGAACTGCAGAAAGACCTTCAGGGTTTTTCAACGGCAGCAATTTTGCCCAGCGTGGCTGGCTGGGGAATTCTGGGAGTTGAAGTCCACCCCTTGCTGAGATTGAGAAATGCTCTGAAGACCCCCAGGACGTCCCCGCAGGGTTCGTGATCTGCTGGATGTCTTAAGCAATAAAGCGGAGCTTTGCGCAAGGGTGGTTTCCATCCATCTCCAGCCCGGCTGGACTGACAGGGAGTCAGCAGATGCCTGAAAGTTCATGGGAGGAAGTGATTGGGGCCCTTTTCACTCCGCTTTCCGGTGAGTCAGCCTGGCTGCTCACCGTCAGGGGCCAAACCCCCGTCACAGATGGAGGAAAGGCTGCATGGGATGGTGGCGCATCGGGCAATTGAGGTTTGAAGAACAGAAGAGGTGAAATGCCTTCCAGCCTCACCTTGGCCTGGATGTGGCCGGGTGTTTGTGGTGCTCTGCTCTTTTGTGTCGGTGTCTTATTGGTCTGCTTGGAGTGAGGGACACGAGGGTAGCCCTATTGGGCCAGGCAGGGCATATCTTGACCAAGACCTCTGGTGATGCCCAAAACCTCCCGGGGGTTCCTTTCTGGTCATCCCAACCCTCCTGAACCCGTGGAGGAGATGAGCCCGGATGCCCCCCTCCTTTGTCCGAGGACTTGGAGGGAGCTACCCCCAACTCAGAGGGTGGATGGGGTCCAACATCCCTCAAGAGCCCCCACCTTCGTGAATGCACCTGATCTCCTTTTAAAGGCATCGCCGCGACTCGGGGGAAAGAATTCCAAGGTTAATGGTGCATTCAGGATATTCTGAACATTTTGGTCACAGCCAATCATAGTTAACATTTTTCTCCAGCCACCTTCCCCTTTTTGTTTGCACTCATCATTTTCTTCATGGGTGCTTTTCACGGGTGTCCTTGACATTCCCCTCGGTTGTTCCCAAGCAGCTGTTTTTTTTATCACTCAAAAATGCTGCTCGGAATGACAGAATTATGAAAATAAGACCAGAAGCAAACAGCTGGACTGTTAACGAGATATTCCTTAGCAAAGGATTTATTGGCCATAAGCATGGTTCCTCTGCATCTCTCCCCCATCATCTGACCCTCAGCCTCTTTTTAAAAGAGTGGCTAGTCCTTCATGCATATTTTAGGTCACTGTCTGGCTCTCCTCACTTTAATTTCATGGCTTGGGCCAATTCTTCATCTTTGGCCACGTCGCTTCTTCAAATATAGAGGGTGGGTTAGATTTTTAACTCCCAACTGGCAAGTAACTATTGGCCTGGATGTGCATAGAAGAACCTGCTCACCGTCCTTCCCTCCTTCCTGCTTCTCCTCTGGGGCAGAAATGCTGAGGACGGCCTCGGGCGGAAACTGGTGCATCGTCCTTCAGGCGGCTGCCTGTCTCGAAGCTCCCATCAACTTGGGTAGCTCTCCAAGGCTGATCCTCTCCATTTGCCACTTTACTTGTCCCCACAGTTCTGGTTTCAGGGGAGCAGATGCTCCCTGTGGAGGGGGAAGAACACAAGCGTGTCAAGGCTGCTTGTAGGCCTTTGTGTGACTCAACACACCCTCAAGATAGTGAGACGCCAACTGCTCTCGCTTGAACGGGAGCATGAGGGCCCAGACCGATGACTCCCAAACACACCGATCGAGCCAGAAGTGGCCACGTCCCCTGGCAGCGCTGCTTTGCCCTCGAAGGAAGGGGCCGTTTCTGAGACCAGCACAAATGTAGAAGAGAAGAGAATACCTTTATTGCCATTGCATTACAATGACATTTGAAAGCTACTCCAGCACAGTGCCCCGAACACCACATCACAATCACACTACAGAGTAGTTAATAATAATAATAATAATAATAATAATAATAATAATAATAATAATAATA